GAACGAAGGACCTCTAGTCCCTCGAGCGAGGAGGGTCCGCTGGATAACTCCTTCACGCAACAGGGGTGAATGGAGACGTTGCTGGCGCCCGCTTGAACAAATTGACAATCAGCGCGACAGGCGACAGGTGACAGCTCAGCAGACCTGTTAGGCAAGAAAGTGAGAGAAAACACAGTCGTACGTCTCTTTTTTTATCAAAATGCTACCATAACACCCCTTGATCACTTCTACTTATTGACAGTCGCTGGAATTGCTTCGAGGTATTTAAGTTTTGTCTCAATGATTCCACGAGGTAGCGATTCCAGAAGAGGACAGTGGGTTGATACGTTTTTCTGTTTGTGGAGGATGAGGCATGGTTTTCCATTCAAGGTCACTTCAGCATTTTTCGCGGTCATGTGAAAGCAGGTTTTGTATAGTCACAGGTCATCTGAACAAACAGAACTACGCACTAATAAACTCACCTGTGTGGTAGATTGCTGGCAGTGCTCTGTTCACTTGCCCTGCGGTATTGTTGAATTACCAGGCTAGAATAAAACGAATCCGTTTATCGAGCGGATAGAAGTGGTCCGACACAGAAAGTACCAATCGTCTTCTGCTCCAGTTAGTGGCTGACCAAGCTATTGAAGATGAACCTCGATTACGACCGCTGACGAGGGCACAGCTTGACCTGAATAAGCAGAAGTAGGTAGCAGCGAAAGTAGCTTTAAATGAATTACACCCGCCTTTGGCTAATGGAGTGTAGAGTGTCGGGCTTATCAGGAGCACGATCAGCGACGGAGATGCCGTTGCTTAAAACGTCGAACTGTAAGTGCTGGCTCGCACAATGCCCAGTTATTGATGACAGGTGTGGGATGATTGGTGCTGAAGAGGTGCCGGAACTGGCGGAATCTGCCAGGATTGACGTAATCGGAATAGGAATCCGATTCGTAGTCGTCGTAATCTAATCATGACGATAACGTGGCGAAGCTTTTATACAGCTCTACACTTTATACAGGATACGTGATTATCGAAGACCTAAAACATCTTTCTACGAACATAATCTTCGGACAGTTTTGAGAACACAATGATTACTGAGGACCTAGACTTTTCTATAAACATATCTTTCTCCAAAGAATCTATGTTTTGAGAAATAGGATTTTCCAAAGCTCCTTGTTAAAGATCTAGCTAACAAATGTAAATATAGCCACCCGTATGTTATATACACTGCGTTTCATAATTATAGGTCCACCCTAAATTTTTGCTATCCCAAAGTTGCTGTGCATTTTTTGGAAATGCTGCTATCACCGTTAGATTCCTCATCACGGAAAACCTTCATAGTGTTTTTCTGACAAAGTTCCCCCCTCAAGTAACCCAATTAACTTTTTCAGAACGAATTTCTACCGTTTCATGAATATCGTGCCACTCATAAAAAGTTTCTATTTCTCACGATCCGTGAAGGGAATCAGGGAAGCGGGGAAATATGTGTGCTCAGTCGACATCGAGTTTACCATACCTCGTGTTATTCGCCTCTCTTCCCAGTAACAAGCTCAAGCTAGAGCACTTACTGAAGTGGGGTAGCTGAAGAGCAGAATTTCCTTTCATGTCGGCTGGCTCATACTGCATAAGCGACTATGTGCAAAATACTTTTCAGTGCAGAGAGAAGAGTCGCTTAGGCTGCGTTTCCTTCAAAATTTAGGAAGAATTGGGTGTCTTTTCTCGAATTATACAAGGAGTCCGATCAAAGTCCGTACTGAAATGCGGCCTTCCGTGAGCAAAACCACCGTGTGGTGAGTAAGCCAGCAGAACAATAACATCTTCAACGGATTGACGAAGAGCGTTCCAAGATTATTTGAGCGCTACGAGATCGCAAGTCTCCATTTCTCCGTGGAAAAGGGCTCAACTTAATGAGCGATGGTGTGGCTGTTAAGACCCTTCGCGATCTTGGACTCTACCTCCTTGTTTCGTTCTACAGGTGGTCTGAGATCGACGTGGAAAAGTTTATTCTAGGTGGATATGGCAGAAAAAGAGGGTACAGGATGATCGCGTGAAAATCGCAGATTGTTTCAATGTAACGTAATTTCGGCGGTGAATCCTTATGGTTTGAGGCACCTTTGAACGACTGAGTAGCTAGAGCTCGCTTTTGTTTCCGTTCACAAAAGATTCCACAGGGTACCCGTGAAGTTCTTTCGAAGCGAGTCTTACCATTTTTCAACAAGGAACCCCTCTATCCTTGATTTCACACACGATAACGCGGCTGTCCATGCCGGTCCTCCGCGCTCAGATGGAATTGCAGGAAAAAATGTGGCAGTTATCTGGGGGAACGGTCAACAGAATCGATGGCTCGTCGCGCCACCGCGTGCGGCCAATCGTGCGGCGAGGGGGCGGAGCCTTTAGGACGAGTGTAGTCTATATCGACTTCTGAGTAGGACGGCGATCTTCATACTCTCTCTTTGTGACTAGTAGGATGTTTTACAGCGTGAAACTCAAAGTGGTTAACTTACTCCTCCAAACTATGATGACCGAGCCTTTCTAAAATACACTGTTCATCATTTCAACCACCTGTGATTCAATATTATTTGTTCATTGGTAATTCCAGAACTCAAGAATTGGAAATTCTCCCCTTGACACGGTTTCACTAACTTATATCTTGACTTATTCATATCAAATTTTTAACTAACAGATGTAAATGGTTATCAATAAACGAAAGAACTTCTTTTTAGTTCCCAAGACTCATGCTCTTCCAACCACTCCTTAAAAATAAGTAGCGAGTACTACCCACGTGCTTACGAGGGCAGAGTTGACGCTCGCCACTATTTCAGTAAGAGTTCTGTGGATGCTATGAACGAAAACTGTTGCATTAAATCATATACGCTGCGGCTTATCGTAACCTTCCTGGGGCTCCCAACAACAAACTCAAATGAAATCTTGGATGAATTCTTCTCTCTGGACATTTTTCTTGTTTGTCCGAGCAATAAAGGTGTACGACCCAATGCTAAAGACAAGAGCCTGAGGCGAAGCCGCCAGCACCATACGTGTAATTGGTCATATCTGGGGAAAACAATGGTTCAGAACCTGTCCCAAGGTACTTTGCCGTGATGACTGCAACACTATGTTGACTCGAAACAATTCTTTTAATAGTCAACTATTATATATTCGCAGGAATAAGACCTAAAAATAGCTATTGCTTGCTATCATATGGTGTGGCTATAATATGGTTGACTACATTATCTAAAACATCCTTTTTGTTCGAACGAACCCAGAGTGAACGATTCATCCTGAACATCTGTTTTATGATCACATTCAAAAATTCAGCTTGTTGAGAGCATGTAAGAGCTGAATCACGATTGCGCATCGAAGCAAATACCTCAATAGTTTGGCTTACAGCAAAAGGAAGAAGTCGAAACTTTGATTCTCAATTCTTTTAGACATCAGAATAATTCATGTTATTTGTCCAGAAAACACACCTAATCAGAGCAAAGATAGGATCACCTTACTGGTCGTCGTAGTTCTTTATTTTGTTCGCTACCACACGGTTCTCATAGAGAAAATGTGTTTTGTAAAATAATGGCGTTGTTTAAGACACTGTGAGTGAAATTAAGTAGTAGTGTAGACAAATTATATTCATGTTTTGATCATAAAGCCCAAAAAGCGACATGCTTATTACAGATTTAGATAGGAAATAACTACAATATTAAGATAGCTAATGAAAGTGACTGTATCCTTGCTCCAAAGTAGAACACGTAGGGTTCAACAATTAGAAATTCCCCTGAACAGTCATTCACAATCACAGTCATCGGAATGCTCAGAAAGTCCCACGCCATTAGTACATCCGATATCTGGCAATGGACACGCCCACCCGCCGCGTCGTCGTGGCCACGCCTACTGGCGCGGCGATCCCATCGATTCTGTTGACACGGAGCCGTTATCTGGTGGCCACCATGTTATCTGAATTAGATTCCAATAGAGAATGATTGGGCCTTAATTGTTATAAAGTTCCACAACAAAGTAATGCAAAATGGATTAGCCGAAAAGCTGAAAAGGTCGATCATCGGCGCCCAGCGAATTTCGATCCTACTGTAATAGCTAATTTGGCTACCAGCATTTCAAAACGTATTATTGTGCTCCTTATGATTATTGGGGGGTCATCCCATTACTGAACATTCGTGGACGTTTTTTCGTTTTAGTAAAATCTCTCGACAAGTGATGTGTAGTCATATTTGCGAAACGGTGAAAAGTTCGGTACGTTCTAAGGAAGAAATTTCAATAATTGTGAATCGAGATTTCTCCAGAAATCAAGTATCTAGGTTTTTCGTTATGGGGAAACTATTGATAATAGCGGCATTTTCCAAAAATGCACAGCAACTTTGGAATAGCAAAAAATTAGGGTGGACCTATATTTATGAAACGCAGTGTATGTTGTCTGGGAATATTGCTTATTGAATAAGTTGCATTTTCCGACACCTGGGGTTTGCCATCACTTTCACACGCAACTGCACGACGCTATCAGTTCATAAACCACTGAAAAGTAGTAATCTACTTAGAAAGGAAAGAGTTTCGCGCTAGAAAAACACGACCATAAGCAAAGGCAAGCTAAGTAAAACATCAAATACCAACAGGGAATTGAAAATGAAGTTGATCGAAGTCAGGCATTCGTGTGCGCCTTTGTTTACCTCATTTACCGCTAATCTTGAGCACATCGTAGGAAACACTGATTACACAAGGGACCTAGAACAACCGTGCCGCCTTTCCTCAACCACCCTCCGAAGGACTATTTTTCGTGAAGATTTAGTGTCGCAGGCACATCTAGCCGCTCAAAAATTTTTATGAGATGTGACAAAGCTACAATTTAATTTGGTCAGACTATTTATAGGACTAGTATAGTAGGACTATTCACAGAAGGCAACAAAACTCGAGCACCGTTCAATGCAAACCAATTGTAATTAATAATGGGGAAATGTCCCGTTTTCGACCTGCGCATAAATTATTCCGTTAATCATAATGATCTGATAATTTTTCTTCAGGAACCTACGGTTCACACGAGTTCACCAGAGGAGCCAGCTACAACATACGACAGTGACTTGCAAGCAGAGTAGGTGATCCGTTTTAACTGGTATTAGTTACGCGCTCTTCTGCCTTTTAAAATGATATCGCTAAAGATATGAAGTAAGCTGCATAGCGCCGAGCAATCCTTTTCGAAGTCCGATACGTAAAATAACTTAATCACAGCCACCTCCAGCAAGGTCCGTCGAAGGCCGGTGTCGGACTCTGCGATTCGTTAGCGAATCGTGGGGTACGAGCGTTGCACCAGCGGATCGTACTTTCTACTAGCGGATCGAAAGATGTACCAGCGACTCGGAAGTGTTCGAAGGCGGGAGACCCGCTCTGGTCGTTCGCACTCTGACTCCCGCCACTTTCAAATTCTGCCGAGTCGCTGGTTTATCGCTCGATCCCTGGGTACCTAGTTCGATCCGCTGGTGAAACGCCCCCGCGATTCGCTCGAGCTATCTTTCGTAGAGTATTGAAAATGTGTATTTGCTCAATACGCTAACTTGCATTGGTAGAAATATTATAACATCATAAAAGTCAGTGTTTTAATGCTCCTGAACGAATCTATTACCACGCCCTGAAAGGATGCCGCATGAAGTACAGGACTATTCATATGTACTGCCCTTTGTCTATCTATTTTTTTGCTATTTGATTAACAAACAAGTTAGGAAGTCATTTCTGAAGGACAAACGTGAGAACATCAAGATTGCCACATCGTTGGTACTCTGAGTGGCCGAGCTGCAGAAGTGACAGAAATGCGCAGAGAAAGAACATCGACACTATGCTTCATAAGAAGCGAAGGGACCGGCGCCAAGACGAAAAGGATTGGTGGATACGGTTTGTATTACCAAGGAGAACAATCGAAAGTCATGGTATCGCCATCACCGTACCACAAAGTTAGAACACACCGTCAGGGATGTGCAAAGGATTTCTGAACGGACCATATGTATGACCATGGCCTTCGGCAAGAAAGTCACTCTTATTGTCCGTGCGTGCGTCCTGGAACCGAACCTACTCAATGTCTTCAAAAAACAGTTCTGCGAGCAACTTGCCGGTGTAACTTCCACGCTTCCAGCCGATGGAACGCTGTACATCATGGGACGTCTCACTGGGTGTAACGGCATTGATAACGAGCAGTACGAGGACACACAAGGATGATTCGCAAATATCATAAAAAATGAAAATGAGTACGAGTTTAAGAATATGCCGGATCGCGGGATCTAGTCACTGCCAACACTCTTCCAGAAGAAACAATCACACTTTATCACGTTCTACGGTGGAGAGCGTAAGGCGCAGATCGACTACATCATGGCATAGAAGAACCATCGATGCGATGTCTTCATGAAGTAATCCCATCAATAAGTGTTAGCAGCCAACATCGTCCCGTTTCGCCGCGATCAGGATGCCAAGAGACTCACCTGCTTTCGTGCAGTTGAGAACCAGTAAAAGCTTCTGAGGTGGAACAAGATCGGTGGCCTTAAACGAACTGAAGGAAATCACTTATTCATGGTCAACAAGTCAGGTCTGATGATATTGAGCGAGACTAGAAACCTTGTTCGAATAATCCGAAACATGCGAGTAGAATCGGCCATAGGAAGGAAATCAGACGTGCACCGGATCGGTCTGCTTGGTCTTGAATAACGGTGTAGCACACTCGATTGAACCTAAAAAAAAAGGCGAACAGAGTTTGGCACATCAGTCCTACAGATGAGTGTAGAGCAAAACGCTGTGAATCCAAGCGAGAAGCGTACGGACAATGCAATAAAAGAAAAAAACGGAGTCGCGAATTGTGAATCTAAACACCAAAGAAGGCGGAAAGCATATTTACAATCGCCAAGGGATCTCCGAAGCAACACAAGACTACATTAGGACCACATTCATCGGAGATATTTATGGAGCGCTCCTGTACGACTTAACCAAAATCAAAAACCGATGGCAAGAACATTTCCAAGAATTCTGTAACATAGGGTACCAAAATCCACCGCCTTCAAAAGAGCTGGTGATTCAAGGACCCATCCCACGAATAAGTGAGAGCGAATCCAAGGAGGCCGTCAAAAAGATGAAGAACATGAAAGCCACTGGTACACACAACATTCCTGCAGAGTCTTGAATCGATTCGGAGGACCCGTTTCTAATGGAACTCCAGCAATTGAACAGCAAAAGGAAGAATCTCTCAAGATCAAAAAGATCACAGTGTTCATTTTTAAGGGGAAAAGAGACATTGTTAACTGCTCCAGTTACCGCCCTATACGTCTTATATGCCATACTGCGAACGAATTCTGGACGCCAGATTAGGCGATATAGACAGAACGAACCGGATGCAGCGTGGATTTCGACCTGAACACAGCGCCACCGACGCCATTCGTGTTGCCCGGCGGATGATGGAGAAAGCATTGGAAAGGAATAAGCCGCTCCACATGGGCTTTCTGAACCTGGAGAAGGCGCTTGGCTGAGTGCCAGACAACTCATTTGGGAAATCCTCAGTCAGCAACAAGTATCAGAAGCACTCGTCAAAGCTGTGCAGCTGGCCTACATCAACTTCTTCACTGCCAGCCGCACAACGGTAAAGACACCCCACATCAGAGAAAAAGTTAGAAAGACGGGTCAACCGCTGGAAGAAACAGTTCGATGATCGTGGACTCAAGATCGTCAATAGTTGTAGACGGAACATCCCTATCAAAGACGGCTCAATTACCATTCCTTGGATCCATGCTCTTTGCGGACACTGATACAAGCCGACACGACTGCCAGAACTAATGCATTATGGAGCAAATAGCGAACGGACACCTGGGACTTTGTGACAAGTGAATCCAACACGCCCAAACTTCAACGTATACAGCTTCGTGTGAGGCCTGTAGCCATTTATGGTGCGCAAATAAAACAAATGACGGCTGATGAAACAAGAGCTATGGATCCATGGAGGTGACGATGTTACAATGTTGCATCGGATACACTACATAGACCATTCAAAATGAATACATTCGAGACAAAATCGAACTTCAACCTATTGCCAACTTCCTTGCTGCCTCACGCTTCCGCTGGTACGGTCATGCCCAACGAAGACCCCCTGATGCTGTGTCCGAATCGATAGGCAAAATAATGTTCGTCGGTACACGTCCGAGAGGCCCACCCGTTAAGCGATGGCTAGAAAACTGAAGTACGGCATGAAGCTGCAGCCGCTGCATGGAAAGAGGACTACCGGAAAATATTGGTGGAAAAAGCGTACCCGTCAAAAGTTAGACAACAGCACTAAGAAGAAGAAATCTTGTCTATCACGAATCTGTATCACTTCGATAACCTAAAAAGGTCGAGTGAAATTTGAAACAAGGAAAACACAGGCCAGTGGCACCTCCAGGAGCATTTCTGCAATCTGGTTAGTTTTCTGAAGCCAGCTACCCCGATTACAGAGCCACTTGGCGTTTTAAAAAATACAAACTTTCATGAGTGTTAAACTTACGAAGGCTGCCCGTACCGGTCTCTTTCTGGTAGAATGAGAGAAGCATTACGCGATAATGCAAAGCACACGACATAGCCGGCCCAGGTGGCATTGGCAGGTTTCATTTCATTTTTAAAGCAACAGTTCAGGGAGGGTCCGAAAATTTCAATGCCACTACTACTGAGCGGATTAACGAGCCCTAGTGAAGAACATACATATGCAGTGGAAATAATAAACGAACTTACCTCAGAAACTCAGAAACAGGGTGGAAAGTCCCTCAAACATGGGCGTTCTTGGGGATTTCCCCAATCCCGCACCCTTGCCGGCCGTCATTGGACGCGGCGGCAATCGTGCTCGTTTTGGGACCACAGGGAAAATTGATTGAAAAATGGAGCGCGTTTACAGCGGGCACGTTCAGACAACTCGTCCAACGTGCGTCTTTATCCATTGCTGAGCGGCAGAGGGAGAGTACCGTTCAAGACCCTCCCCGACGTTTTTTTCCAGTTTTTCATACATTAATCGTCTGGTTTCCATCTACAACTTCATTATTGGTGGTTTTTTCCCGCGAAACCGTTCCTGAACTGTTGCTTTAAATATATCTTTTATACTTTTCTGATCGACGTCCGACTGACCCCGAAGTAAAAATCTAGAGTGCATATGTCATACGTTTCATGAACAGTCGTTGAGTGCAAAAATGTTTGAAGATTTTGTTATGATCGAAGCTAAAATGACCAATCAAGTTAACGCAACACTATCCAAATAGTATAACAGTAAGAGATGACAGGAATAGCCAGAGCCAAAATATGTTATTAGAAATATGATAACAAGTAGTTGTCTAATAACCATTTTAGTGGAACTGGTCGTCTTGAAATAACAACAACATCTGCGTCGAGGCGTGATCTTCCATCATCAAGGAAAGCGTTGGAATTTATAAGTTATAAGGTGGATAATGCGCATTCCATCGACGAAGAGACCAAGATAAGTCCTTTCGAGGACGAGGATCAGGTGCGACTTTACAACGATAGACATCCTAAATCTTAATTACCGTGAAATGGCATTAGGAGGGTAAGGGAAAGAGATTCCATTCTCAGTTTTCTTGAGACCTAGGCGTGTACTTAGCATCATCGATATGTTGTGCCGTTCACACTGGGTTCCGCTAGAGTTGTTCTGATCAAATATCAAATATCTGCTTTGAAGCTCTCCAACTACCGCAGCTTCTGATCACTAGCTTGCTCGGTTGAAGACTCTACACAAGACTCATTCCTTCTTCCTTGAGATCCGCCTGGAGGCACCGGGTCAAGTGTGGGATGGGTGGGACATTTCTCGCGAAGTACAAAACACACATCAGCGAGCGGAATCTTGCCCACACTGGGCGTGGCATGCATCGAAATGAGCGAGACTGAAGACGAGAATTTCTCATGATTCCAAAAAGTCCTCCGCGGAAAGAATGGCGTAAAGTGTGTACTAATAGGTTGGATCGCATTGGAGAGGCGGGGTGTTCTTTGAAAAAGCGGTCCTAAATGAAAAATTCATAACTCGGTTACGGAAGCCTACAGAGCAGAAATAAAATAGACGTAGGGAAACAATGTCGTGGATGTTTCCAGCGCATAGTGTGAGCGGATGCCCGCTCACGTTGGGCGGAGCATATCCTGAAAAGGAAACCATTTCTCACAAGTTTTCATAACTCGGTAGTGAGTAGCCTTAAAAAGCGGAAAAAAGTGGATGGAGATCGGAGATGGAGTGGAGTTTGAGTAAATGGCGGGCGTGGGGTGCACTGAAGTAGGCGGTGTTTGCTACCAAACTTACGAATCGGTTCAGAGGCAATCGAGACCGGAAAGAAGTGGACAATGGTTGACGGACTAAAAAGCTGTCGGTGGGTAGGTCATCCATAGCTGTGGACGGGACAATAGTAAAATTTAAAGTCGCATATGGTTCAGAAATAACATGAGACTTAGGAGAAAGCGTAGAGGATCTAGCTTATCAGGGTGTAATGTTCGTGGGGTGTCGGGCCGAATTTGAGCATTTTTACCCCACTGTTCCATATCGCCACAGTTGTGTTGTGCGCGCAACATTGTGGTGCAACTGATATATAGGTTTCATAAGCCATATTGTATTCCATATTGAAAGCTCTGAGCGGTACGCAACTGTGGTCGTAATTTTTGCCCACCATATACATTTCATTTTGCCTTTGCGACATGAGAACTTTTCTGGAGTCATATGCAACAAGCCCCGAAGATCTTCGAGGCCATATCTCCTGCGACCTTCAGTGCTTGTTGCATGCGATCGTCTGGAATGACGACCCCTGATGCTGTACTACAACGTCGGGGATGGATCCCCCTTCTCTCGGCTAGGGGGATTCATCCACGACGGCCCCGACACGTACATGGTGCTTGCAGTTTGCAAGTATGTGTCTAAGCAGTGCATCTTTATTGCAGTTCAGTCAGTTGATCAGCTTGGCTTGGTGCCATATGCAGAGAAGGGACGTATCCACACCGGCACATACGCGATGCACTTCTGCTGCACATTTTTCGTGCGCTCGCATGCCACAAAACTCCACTGATGAATAAAAAATCCGAAACCGGTTCATCTAAGAAAGATATGTCAGAGCAGTTTGTAAACATTCAAAGTGGTCCAGTTCAGTCGGGCATTCTATGCGTTCTCAAGCGAATTGCTTCCCCTTCATCAACTTCCGAGGTTCACCATGAGCATTATTGGCGAATGACCCCACTCCGCATATCCTATCCTGCATTTTGATTATTGGCGATAGTCGTCCCTGTTGTGCCATAGTCCCACTACTCCTTCTCAAGCTTCTGATTTAACTATCAAATCGAAAAGTGTGGAAGAGTGGGGAGCGGGGTGGGGGAGAGAGAGGGGAGTAGTAAAAAGACAATACAACTGTTAAACCGTAAAGCTGACCAACTTTATTAAAAAAAACACTCGGGAAGCTACCACATCTCACTAAGACATACCAAATTCTCAGAAACTTTCTCATCCTGTGTCATCTAGCAGTACGGCACATTTCTCCAAATGCGACCCTCTACAAAATCAATTGACGATCCTTTCGCCAACATCGTCAGGAAACACAGGGTGGCTGAAAAGTATAGGACGCCATGTTTTCAAAGTTAAGAAGAGGACTTCATTAACATAGCAACTTTACAGAAAAATACAGCAGGCGATGTGATAATTTGGGACAAAAAGTGCTCTAAGTTTGAGGATTCTGCTTTGATATAAGCGTTCCTACGTCCAACAACAGAATCAGCAGTTAGCCAAAGGCGATGTCATCACACGCATTCTGAAGCGCTAATTTCAGAGCATCCGCCGAGCTGTAGAAGCTTTCTGAGATCTTGCTCTCTAACATACCAACATAGAAAATTCCATCGGGTTAACACATTCACGGCGACGCCCCTTTTCCACTTTTCGGTCGCGTGGGACGGACGCGATTTTGTGGGCGCCGCCGCCTCACCACATAACCGCAGATTTTGTTTTGTAAATGAATAAAAACATGAATGTCATAGAATAGTTTTTGCACTGTCTAATGCGTGAAGATCATCTAAACATATAACAGTAGGATTTCGATCAGAACGACAAATAGTGGTTACGAAAAGCGAGCATTCATTCACTTTCCCCGTGAAGGAATTTGAAAGCATTTCACACTCGATTACGATGTTTGCCCACCTATCCGTCCATTCCTAACGCCTGGCAAGCGATTATCAGTTGGCAGTCCATATGGGCTGCCATCGTCCCAGGAGCGCATGTTGTTGGCAGAACATATGGGCGGCCATAGGCGTGAATGTGTTAAAGGCCTGGGGAGAGAAAGTTCACAAATGCTCGCTCCACTGGCCGATGAGGTGCGCGTCCAGAACGCCTTTGATTGGTTTGTGAGTGTACTAGAGAGCCCATCTACATTCGGGAGAAAATAGATGTTGAGGAAAATGGTCGTGAATCCAGAATGATGTACTGTAACTCAACATAGTCATTTGCAAGACCTTTGGGTTGATTTCCATTCTTTTTGAAGATGAACACCAGAGAGGCGGCAGTTCTAGACGTTATCCCGTCATAAACTGCCGCACCTTTGGGAGAAAAACTGTTGTAGACTGAACATTATCTCGGGGACTTGTTCCTACTTTTTATCAACAATCGCCCAATCATTTCTGCTTTGCTTTTTTTGCATTTTACAAGTCAATTCAATTCGGACTCCCCCAATAACGACAACGATAGGGGCGACAATTCTCCGGAACAGAGCTCTTCCTTGGAGCTATTGTTGGTACAATCAACCCCAGATCCCGAGATCAAAAGCGAAGGGACTCACGCAGGCTCCATCTTTGTGAGTAACTTTTTCTAGGTAGTTGCCCTAATCCTCTGGGTGTGCACAGACCTCGACCTTCCACTTGTTGCGATCCCAGATATGTGTTCTTAAACCTTGACAGCACCGAAGATATTTCGGCTTACTTATGAAGCTTTTTACACAGCTTCGAAGTTTTCAAAGAGTTGCGGAACATCCCGAAAATACTCCACGGCTAGATGCCAGCTAGCGGTCAAATCCGCGCCGTATAAATTCCAGCCACCCTGTGCACAGATCCTCATGTAATGGATTCTGATTGCTAAAGGAAAAGAATTCAAAAAAGGAGAAGCGATATCTTGAGAATCCCATTACATTGTTGCACAATTGTATAGCCGTGACAACAACAGTATCCTCATCGTGGTGCCCTCCGTCTCAGCTAGCTGAACACTGCGTGAACTGCAAGTGGCAAGTTCGTGTCAAAGCCATCATAGTTGAATCCTCCTACGAATATAGGGCTTTATCCCTGACGCTTTAGTACAGCGTCGTGGTATATCCCCACGACCATATGCAACAAGCCCCAAAGGGATATATCCCGGGAGATCTTTGGGTCTTTGTGCATGCGACTTCGGGGATATATATGTCCCCGACGACCTTCGGTGCTTGTTGCATACGGCCACAGATCAGTTCCGACTATTAAACTTTTTGAGTATCCTGCATCTCGTTAATAATTGCTCCCAATTTTTTTCAGGTACCAAGCGCAAGCGACACTCAACGTAGTTCTGGAGTTAATCGGAGTTTTGAGTTGAGAGGAGACGAAGACATCGAAGAAGTGATTAATAAATTGTCTGCTGGTAATGCGAATATTCGAAGAGCGCCTATGCGCAACTCTATTATTAGACAGCAGAAAATTGATACGTACGCAGGTATCTTGGAAGACTTTTTTGTTTTCTTATCATTTTTTGGTTTTCTTATTTTATTAAGTCGGTCCATAATTTTTGAGAACCTTTGGTGTTTTTCGACTTGATTACTTATCTTGTTTCTCTGATGTATTTATTCAGCACAGTATACATCACCATTATCACCAGCATATAACCAATGCGAGTATGGGTATTCAGTGTCCCTCTTATAGTATTCATAGAGTTCTGATCGAAGAAATATTGGATGTCGATTTTGACTTTATGGTGATTCAAGTGAGATTTCTTCCCCAGAAGGTGATTGAGAGATGATAGCGGATAGTCGTTCGTTGACGCAGGATTAGTGCTTTAAGGCGGAGCTAAAAGAACTGAGCGCCCGAGAGTCTCCAATTTTTTAGGAATTTTCTTAGCAAGGCGGGCTCGAACGACCTCAGAGAAAAATAGATTTTGTCTTCCTTTGCTTTCAAGTTGAAGGCGGTGCCATCAAGTTGTAACGATTCTTCCCATCACTGACTTCGGTATTAGTTGATGCCGGTCTCCAGCGCAAAGGCCCTCCCGTATTGCGCCAACGACTCAGGAAGTTCGAATTCAGAGAGAGTTGGGTTTGTACTATCAGAACTCCCGAATCGTTTGAGCAAATCTACTGCGGCTCGTGGATTTGTTAGCACACTGCACCCAGTCCACATCACCAATAAGTACTATAGATGGTCATCCGAAGGAACTATAAGAAACCTACAGGAACTTGATGATGTCAGAGTGGGTTGAGAATTGATTCGGGACTACAATTTTCCTTCAATCAGAACTCTATGGAAGTCCACAGTATAGACACTGAATACCCACCCTCGCATTGGCGATAATGGTGTAATAATAATATTGATGTTTACTATGCTGGCTAAGTAGATCAGAGAAATAAGATAATGAATCGAAAAACACCAAAGGTTCTCAAAAATTGTGGACCGACCTAATATTATATATTTCTCTTTCTTTTCTTCTGTTACGGAATCTGTATCTGTGTACAGTAGTTCAATAGTTTTAGAGGACAGTCAAAACACATCGCTGGAAGATAGTATTGCAAAGATGAAACGCAAAGATGGAAACAAAACAATTATTCCTAAAGGATTCCAACCCATACATATGCCCGGTACCTTCGCTTTATCAATTTTTTTTTTGAAAATGGATTTAACACCTTGACGGCTGTGCGGCAGTTATGTATGCCACACCCCCACGTTTATTTTTTCTGCACATGCCCGATTTCTTCAGTTTTTTGTGTCCATTCTATCGGCCATATGTACATCAAGATAACTAAGAACCACATGGCTTACAGTATGGCCAAATATTCAGCTTGGCAGAGGTTTTCCAGAACAGAAAATGTCTGTCCAGTTTATCCCTCGTTTTCTTTTCATTAACCTGAACCCGTAGAAGAAAAGGAGTAATAGGGGTGAAAACAAACATCCGTATGGTAAGATATATGCTTTCACTGAACCAACCACTCAAAAAAATTTCGGAATCACTAAAGCGAAAGTAAGTAGAAATTCCTTCTCACGGCCGTAACACGTCTTTTTAATCGAACTTCCATTACTGTAACTCCCGATAAGTTGAAAACACTAAACATTGATGAAACATTCTGGCGCATACAAATTTTGCGTACTTACAGCGCGGTTATGAGGTGATGCGAAGGCTCCTGCGAAACTGCGCCGGACCCACGTGGCCAAAAAAGTCAAAACGCGCGATGTCGTCAATGTGTTAAGAAATTAATTCGGTTTAATGCTGAACGTTAGTTCACGTATACGCATTGTGGGACGCTATCTTCCAAAAATCAGAGAGAATCTTAATTTGGAAATAATTTTCCCAAAAATGGAGCGTCAAAAACCTTAGGAACTCCAAGTTACAAAAAGTTACAAAGTTACAAAACAAAAATACCAGAACGAATCCAGTGCAACTTTTGAAGTTCCAGAATTGAAAAAAATAGGATTTTCTCAAGATGATTCGATTCGGAGGTAAGTGGAAATCCACCCACTAGGAGCTAATACGTCTTGATGTACGTCAAGCCACAAACTGGGCTTTTGTGACGCATATGAGAACCTATTTTCCTTGGTTCCTCCAGCCTATTTTGGAAAAAAATCGAATCATACAACCCCAGGAATTTAATCTCGGTACGACTTCAGCATCGAACTCAGAAGCTGCTCCATTGTTGAATGCTTTTGCCCCTGTGTCGCAGCATGAGCGTATTCATTTTTTTCTGAAATGTCATCGCATTCAGAAATGACAATATTCGAAAAGCAACATAGTGAAGACAGCATCATGGAGGAGATGGTGAAAGCTAGCCAAGATACGTACAGGGAAGCGGAGAATCATGCTGGACCAAAGCAAAGCAAGAGTGAAGAGCAGAAAGGTCAGTTTCTCTACATTTTGGTCAGACCCGAAACTAAAGCCCTCATCCGAAACGCGCACAAGGTGCACAGATGTAATGTGTTTCATGATTATAAGGTCGTCCTCCAATTCCCTGGACAAGCGGCCGACCCGGAATTTTTTCAATATCACCCGCTAGTGTCTCGTAATGAAGCCAGTTTGAGCAAGCTCTGGCTCTTCTATAACTATTTCTTAGTTCTTGCACCGTTTCATAATTGTAAGGTAACCAGGGTCAAGGATAACGGTCAAGGATTTCCTCGACCATAGTTCTCTTCCGTGCGAGAGTAGTGTCGAGAGTGAATGGATGCGCGGAGAGCACAGACGGTTCGCAGCTGGCGAGAGTGAGCATCCGCGTGAGATAGCGTGAAAGAATCCTCGACAAGCTGTTGTCTTTTCCTCAAGCGATTCCTGAAGGTAACCCAGAGGAAAAGAATATCACATCATGGGAAGCAACAAAACCAGTTGTAAAACTGAAGATTTCCTACAAACACATCTATGAACTACATTTCCGGAATGTTTTGTATTCGTCCTCCGAAGGAAAGGCTAGATTCCTGGATTCCGTGGTTCTCAAGCTGGTACCTATTCCCGTTCAGTTGCAATACCGCTGCCAACACGTAAGATTCAGACCTAAAAGAAACACGGGAAAAAAGCATTCTCAGGAAAGTGATTGTCGTTGAAAGCTCAACAACTGCCAATAAAACCCAAGCAAAGAAAACCAGCGGGAGGATTTTCTCGGAAACCACGGTGGATCAGATTTCATGCAAATTTCGACGTCGGTCAAATGCGTTAGTTGATTCTACTCGTGATAACTATGACCCAGAATTCCTTCAAAGGTAATGGCTGAATTTAGAGGAGATACTGAACCAAGTTAGGGCTTCATTTAGCACGAACTTTGCTGTCCAAGATATTCTGCTCTATTACCAAAAGGGAGACCTTTCATGGTGGGTAGTGCTTTCTCAGGAGTTTTTTTTTCTGCATGCTGTAGAGGCTCGGGACCAGGGTCAAGCGAGGCGTTGAGGAAAATTTGGAAATACGACCCCCCCCCCCACCACCCTCCGCCAGAGGCCGAAGGCATAAACAACCCTCTTCAAAAGCCGAACTATGAAAAGGTTGAAAAGCTTTTTAATTCTCCCCAAAACTGCTCATAAAAAGCCCTGCTACCCCACGCCACAAAAAAATTTGTTTAAGAAGTACAAAAGTGAAAAAGTCAAAGAATAATCATTATTGATGAGTCCTACCAACGAGCAAACGAGAAACAGACCAGAAAACGACAAAACTAGTCACTAAAATGGCATACCATGACAACATCTCTTCTTTGTTTATTTCCTCCACAAGACTTACCAAATTCTAGTACTACACAGATTATGATTCTCAATTTACACGTCCCCTTTCGCTCAAAGGAAGCCTTGAAAAGCCTTCGCCAGCTGCGTGTTGACTGGACTTTGGCGTTGACCGTGGAGCAGCTTATTTACTATTGAAATTTGAACAAATATTCAAATGATTATAAGTTTCTTCAAAGTTAACGAATTTTCAATCTGAGAGCAATTTGGAAGTCTTGTGAGGAGCTTTTTCTAAACAGTATTGAAATTACAAAAGTTATAAGAAATAACAAATTTAGGTCAATTAACGAGGAAAATTCGAGAGGAGCACGAGTTTTTACACTTTCCGAAGCAACAACTTGCTTCATTTTCGTCAAATTCGAAAACTTAATATGGCAGACGAAACTAGTAAGATTTTCTCACCAAACCATTGCTTAAAGCAGCTCTATACGTTCAGTATTCGAAAAATGCCCATGTTGAGGATTTTTGCAAAATTAACGAGGAAAATTTGTGATGGGTGGCGAGTTTTTCACTTTCTAAAGCCATAACTCCGTTCAAACTCATCCAATCCGAAAAATAAATACGCTTTATAAACTAGAAGATTTGCTCTATCAATGCTTACTAGAATGCTCTAAACGTCCAGTATTAAAAAAACGGCTACGGGAGATTTTGCAACGAGTACCGCCGAAAGGTACTTTTTTTCGCTACATTGGCACTATTTCAACGGCTGTATATCCTTTTAAGGGCGATTATGTACTAAATTAGGAGCAGATTTGGAATCACTTTTTTCTCTTTCTAAGAAAAAGTGATTGATTAGCGTTTCTCAACTTTAAAGGTTACATGTTTATAAATTTACCCTGAAGAGTCCGTTAACGCAGTGCTGAATGGTGTACACCTCCCTGTAAATGCGCACGGGCACTTTCAGAATTCTCCCGAATGTTCCTGAATTGAGGTTGTTTGTCCAAGGAGCCGTAGTTGAAGCGCGCGCAACAACTAGACCCTTTCTCGGATGCGCCATGTACCTCACATCCCTTCCGATTCGGGGTCTTACTTGAAAGATGAAATATCTCTTGGAAAGCGTACGAAATTCAGATTCTTTAACTTGTGTGGTGATAAAACACTAAAGTAACTAAGAATTATCGGACGCCTCAGAATTACGAAAATTTTGTGTGGGTGAAATATCATTTTCATTGGAAATCCTCTGGCCTGGCATCAACTCATCCTTGATATTTGTCTTCCGACGGTGATGATCTCACTGCATCAAAATGGCTCCATCTCTT